TATATCAAAGTCGTTGCACCTGATCAAAACACTGACAATACGACCTTGTGAGTCCTTCTTCCAAGATACGATTTCGTTTGAGCATTTCGAAGAAATCAAGGTGACGACACCACCCTGTTTCCCGGAGGCAGGGGACCAAAAACTACGGCCCAGCCATCTACGGGATAGAGATTTGATAGTAGATTCAGAATGAATTAATGTTTCTTGTACAAAACAGACATCACAGTTAGACTTCTCGATCAAATCAAACAAGAAATTGTAGGTAAGGGGGTTTGCTAGCCCCCTTGCATTAATAGTTAAGAGTTTGAAGGAACTTGGAAAAAAGACTCACTTAAAAAAAATGAAAACTTACTTGGACGTTTTAGAGTGTCTATTTTTTCCTTTTTTCTATTCCGTGGGGGTAGTTTCCTTTCGACTTGGAGATACATCGGATGATTTTCTTTTGAGATGGTGAGTGGTTTCCATATCATTTTCGGTTTCAGGGGTATACAATGGATGAGACGAGGCTGTGGTAGGAACAGGTATCGATGAGCGTGGCTTTCCAGTGGTGAGCGTAGGTGTAGTAGGTTTACGAGTACAGGCAAGGGACAGATCAGGCAAGCGAGCAGGTGTGCGACGGGATGACGGCTTGGTGGGTTAGGATGACAGTTGAGAAGATTGTTCAGAGAGATTGTGCGAGGGCAGTTCGGGTTGAGAGTGTTGCTGTTCAGGTTGAGAATGTTGCTCAGACTGTTCAGGTTGAGAGGGTGGCTGAGTCTCGTTGAAATCGTCGGGCAGTGGAGAGGAAGGAGGATCTTGCGTGCAGATGTCGGCGGATGGTGAAGGATTTTGCGTACAATTTCCGTCGGTAGATGGTGGAGGATTTTGCATACAATTTTCTTTGATGGGTGATTTTGGCGGCAGGAGAGCAGAAGCGAGAGGGAGGTTTTCGTTTATTTCTTCGTCACTATTTACATCTTGGTTTTCGTCAGTGTGAGTGCCATGAATTGTTGGGAACACCCAGGAGTATTCGCAGTTCACGCCAAAGTGACCTTCCTGCTTACAAATACAGCACAATAAGAGGCGTGATCGATCACGGGCTTCGTGGCCCACACCTTCGCAATTGAAGCAAATTTTGTTTGTGCAAGCGTTGCTGAAATGGTCTGGACGATTGCATTTTCGGCAGGTTCTGACCGCTGTATTTAATAAAAATCTGGTACTTCCCAAAACGAAGAAAGCTGGGGATGAACTTAATGATACGGACTCTGTAATGTCGGAGACCATTATAAATGTTGGGCGCGTACGAGTGTTTTCCTCGGCTAAAATGAATGACTTCACAATAGGGCGTAAGGCGTTTAATTATTGCAAGTTCAGACAGTTCGAAAGAAGCGTCGTAGATAGTTAGGAAAGTGAGTGGTTTGTCGATGTCTTGAAGGGCGAAAGGTTCGGAATCAATGTTGAGAGAATTTAGGCGTAGGAACTGTTCTTTGGCGGCAATAGATTTCAAGGTGACCACAGCTTCACCGTTGAGTTTGCGTTGTAAACACTGAATGTCGGTCGGAGAGACATTACACTCGGCAAAAGCATCAAATACAGCACTGGCGCTTGTATTCTTGTTTGGCATAAAGAAGGCAGATTTCTCGCCCTTGAGGCATGCTGTTTTCGGGAAATCGTATTTGTGGCGGTCTTGTTTCACTTTTAATATCAGAAGTGCGAGCAGCTCTTGAAGCGTACGAGTCGCCATTAACGGGTGAGCGGTCTTGAACATTTTCGTTACCAGTCCTTAACATTTCTTCCAGTCCATCCACATTCATTGTTAAATCCATTATCATACACAAAGTAAATGTAGAGGGCAGACTAGAGACCAGAGGGCAAACTAACCTGAAAAATCTCGGATTCCGTATATTACGCTTTGACTAGGCAGTAGCGACAAAAGCACGAGAAGCTCTTTACTCTTTCGGCCTTCTAGGCCTCGTCGGTGCAGTGCTGATGTTAGGATGGGGGAGAACCGATATGGCTACCCCGAACGATCCCACATTTGTGGTATCGTCTAAGCCATGCCAGAGTGCTCAAACTAGGAAAGCCTAGTGAGATATGCGCAATGCTAGTGGCAATGACTCACCCCACAGTGCTCAATTTGGACATGAAAGCAGAGCTTTTTATGCCAAAGAGCTACAAACACACACACACACACACACACACATATATATATATATATATATATATATATATATATATATGTGTGTGTGTGTGTGTGTGTGTGTGTGTGTGTGTGTGTAT